AGCCACCCACTTCTTGTGCAATGAGTCATATTAATTATTTAATTGAATTTTAGATTTTCCCGTCGATTGATTGGACCGAAGTGCTCTGTCTCAGTTTGACATGTCGGCTTCTTGTGCAGATGCTTTGCCAATGTCTGGGCATTTAATTAGTATGCAACTGGTGGATGGTGGCTAGCAGTGGACTTTCTAGTTGACAATTTTGATAGTCCACATCCTTTCCAGCTGCTCTCGCAGATTCCTAACACTCATCTGACATATCTTCGTATTTCGTTGGCTACCCGGGCAGTCTTCCCAGTCTTGTTAATTGTAAGGACGTTCCGTGTCCCCATTCATATTCTTGCTTCCATCGAGAGAATACACATCGGTTGGCTGACTGGCGTCCAGAAAGCTTTCGCCAGCCTAATGTGTCATTTTGCCTCTACAAATGCAGCGTAGAATAAGTCTGTTATTCCATATGTTCTGTAATTTTAATATACTTTTGTACGTTGAATTTTCTGTAGCAGTTTGATTGGTTTTGTGATGTAGAGTCACTAGTCACAATGCTCCCTCTTTACCCAGGCTTGGAACGGGCTAGAAAACTAGCGAACTAGGAAACTAGGTGAGGTTTTTCACCTCATTGGGGTCAATTAGTTTAGATTCTGCTAGGTTTTCGAGCTCCGCCAGTCTGACCGATCCGTTCTACAACTTTGACCTATGTATTTGACCGGAAATTCGTTGCAGGGTATTAGATAAACTAAATTGTTTATTTTTAAAGGCTCCACAGGATCCTTTTACCGACAAAGCTTATTTTTAGTGAAGTTTGTCGGTGGTTTGGAGCCCACCTTTATTCCGGTATTGTTAAAGATTCTACCTAAGGTTTCCGAGGTTCCTTCTTTGTATAGAAGTAATGCTGATAATTTAGATTCCTTATTGTTGGTGCTGTCATAATCCTATGTATGTATGACATGCATTTCATTAATAATACTATTGCTATTATTGTCACTATCATTGCAATTATTATTTATTTTATTTTATTAAATTTTCGTTCATACTTCCTGATCAGTTTATTAGGGCAATTATAAAGTTTCAAAGCTTCTCTGATATGAATAAGGCATTTAGAAGACAAATTTCGCAAGATGATATCATTTCGTAATTTCTCTACAATCGCTTCACAATTAGCATGCTTTACAAAAATAAAATAAAATGAATGATGATTACTCAGTTATATGAAACAAGTACATATTAATGACCAAACATATTTAAATAGATCAAGTATTTCATGATAGTCGAAGGTTGAAGTCTATTGATTTATATAAAGATTCTTCCGTATCAAAGAAAGCTATCTTTATTTACCTTCCATCTAGGGGTGATCAAATTATGCAGTTCACAGCTTAAAGACTTCGGTCAACCATCAAGTGCACATTCTAGGCCGCATCTCTTTCCCTCACATGCCGAACGTTTTCCATCCCTATACCTACAATTAAAGGACGATCTTTATTGGACTCCGCTTCAAACTGTATCTACAAGTTCACCTGCAGCTATGGTGACACCTATATAAGTAGAACAAATAGAAGGTCCCCATATCGTAGAAAAGAACATGTTTCAAAAGGCTTATTAAAACATATAGAAAATCCCAGTACGATTAATCTGAATAGAAATCCAGTACCATCCATTGCAAAGCATTTAATAATGTCAGGTCACAAAATGAATATTAATGACTGTTTCACAATTATTTCACATAATTCTAATTCAAGGTTATTGAAGATGATGGAAGCACCTCGGTTAAATCATATACAGCCTGAACCGTGTATACAAAAACAACAGACTTCAGTTTTCTAACATGGACTACCTGATCTATTTAAATATGATTGGTCATTAGTATGTGCTTTTGTTTTATATAACTGAGTAATTCTCATGCATTTTATTTTTGTGAAGCATGCTAATTGTAAAGCGATTGTAGAGAAACTACGAAATGATGTCATCTTGCGAAATTTGTCTTCTGAATGCGTTATTCAAATTTTCAAAAAAATGGATAGTGAACAAAGAGTACTCTTTTCGATAAATTCATCATCAGGCTCCACAGTTATATTTACATGATAGTGAATGAATGAATTAGTGTTATGAACAACACTTATGTTTAAATAACATAGAATCAATAATATTAATAGATTACACCTCAATAGCATCAACATAAAAGTAAGCTGAATGTAAGAAATATTAGGAAAGATATTACAGATATTACAAAGATATTACAAATTCATGAATTTATAGTCTCTTCTGAAAGCCAAGGCAGTAGTAAGGGCTGGACGTGCTTCTTTTGATGAACACAGAGCACTGGTTGTTTGAGGCGAATTGCAATACTCTCTGCTGTTTGAAGCCTTCGGTGCTTCGATATTTTTGGCAATTTATTAGGTACCCAGTAGATTATGGAGAAGGATTCTTCAACGCTGGCTGGCTTTGTGGCCGGTTTTCACCAGGTGGACCAATATCGGACTGTTGATGATTTTCACTACACCTTTACTTAGCCATAGTGGGAGATGTTCTCGAGAACAAAAAATTCGAGTTCCTAGAGAAACGGCCATTACAACTGGCTACTCCATCGGCGAAGATGAATCGGTAGATACAAATAGAAGTGAATAGATAATCTAGGTACTTCATCTTTCAGTCGACGAATCACCATTGGCCGTGTAGAGAAAAAGACGTGAAGTTCGCCAGCAATAAAATTTCTTTGAACTGATATTCTTAATTTCCACATAAATATCTCATTTTTTATATCGGCCTTCAATTTCAGTCGTGTGTATAAACGCTTCAGGTTTACGCATAGTGAGTAGTATTTTACCGCTTTCTATCTTATGTGTTTCTCGATAAATTTTTTAGGATAACTATTGTGAAACCAAGTATTATGTACAGTTAATATATGTCTTAAACATGGGCACTGTGGTAGTAAATAATTGACTATTAGTTTGTTTATTAGCTGTATCACACAGTGAGGGAAACAGTATTATTTACTAGATGACGTTTCGAACACAATTCATTGTTCATAATCATATCAATTTTGATCACCCGACTTTGAAATTTTAGTTTTATAGTTTCCTTTATCTTCGCCTATTTGTCGTAATGGTAGTAGAATTTTCCATGTATCTGGGTGAACGGTGTTGAATCATTTCTATTCCAGACAGGTATTTTCAGTTGATTCGATAAACAAAGCTTCTGTTATCAATCTCTCCCTATACCCTGTGACATTAGATTTTAAAACTGTCATCCTATCCCATTCAGCCTATTGTATGGTTGTGTGTCACTGCATGTAGTGAGTGCTATAGCTGAAATATTTTCTAGATTTCTTATCTTGTTTGGGTCAACCAATTTCGATTTAGCTAGGTTTTATGTACGGCTAGTCTGACTGCCCCTGTTCTACTAGTTTGACCTATGTATTTGACCTGACAATCATTGCAGGTAGGGTATTAGATAAACTAAATTGTTTTGTTTTAAAGGCTCCACAGGATTGATCCTTTAACCGACAAAGCTTGTTTCTAATTGAGTTTGTGGTTGGTTTAAATGCTACTTTTATTCCTGCCTTGTTAAGGATTCTGCGTAAGGCTTCCGAGGTTCCTTCCTTGTATGGAATTACTGTTGATGATTTAGATTCCTTATTGTTGGTTTCGTCATTAATATTATCATTATCACTATTATTATTATCATTATCATTATTATCATTATTATTATTATCACTATCGCTATTATCATTATTATTTATTTTATTTTTACGTTTACTTACATATTTCTTGACTAATTTATCCGGGTAATTATTAAGTTTCAAGGCTTCTTTTATGTGTCTCACTTCCTGTCTTAGATTTTCCTTGGTACTACTTAGTTTTTGTGCTCTGTCATTTAAACATTTCACCAATCCTGTTTTTACTGACATAGGATAGGCTGATCGGAAATCCAAATATCTGTTTGAGTGTGTGGGTTTTCTGTAAACACTAGTGTTTAACTTCCCATCTTCTTTCCTTTTTACGTTGCAATCTAACATTGGAAGTTCCCCTTCCTGACTTTCCAATTCATAAGTGAATTGAACTGCCTCCACCTTCGAATTGATGTGTTCAAAAAATCTATTTATGTCCTGTGTTCTAAGCACGGTGAATGTATCATCTACATACCTTCGCCATACTTTTGGGTTGGGGCTGAACGTTTCAATCGATATCTTTTCCCACCTATCCATGAATATGTATGCCACAATCGACGATTTCGGTGATCCCATGGCATCTCCCTCAGTTTGTATATATAGAAAGTAATAAATAAATTATTATTATTACTTAATAACACTGTGTCACCGTGTGATATATCCAAAAAGGAAATAAATGTAGCATTATATACTACCATAGTGCCCAAATATTACACACATAATAATCCCAGCATGTCAGTTTGTTGCAGTATCTTTAGTTCTTATCAACTTATTTATTTGTGAAAGAAGATAAATTGTTTTAATGCGTACAATCCACTGAGAGCCAGCAAGGAGCAGTGGACAGCTGTTTCATCCTAGTTTTGGAATCATCCGCAGTACGCAATTACTGACAGGGTTCGAACCCAGGGCCTTCTGGTTACAAGGCAAGCTCGTATACCATTCAGGTTATCATTATTATTACCATTAATATTTAAAAATGATGACTCATCAGGGAAAACATTTTTTACACTGAAATTTCAACTATTCTGATTCGTCCAAAAACCAGCCAATCAGATTCCAATATTCCATTTTGTTTATCCAATGATTTAACAGGAACAGTGATAGGTCTGAAACTCAAATATACCAAATCTGAATCATTCGCAGTCAACTAAAACAATTATAACAGTTCTTCATATGATTATTTGTTTAATCGAACTTGATTTATTTCAGCAGTGACACTGTATTTCTTTAAAAAGTCGGTTAATTACTCCAAAAAATTAATGATCACTAAAACAAGCGATAACCAAATCGAAAATATTCACAATCCTACTTTCTATTAAATCAGATAAATATACATGCAATGGATGATCCACATGTCAGTACATCCGATGATTCTGAAATAACTTTGGACAATGCAAAACAACCCAACTGGTTGATGCGAAATGAAAATAAGCATAATACAAGTGTGATACAATTACCTGAAAGACAAAATCATATACGTAAACGTTTACCTGGTGAAAATTATTCAGCCTCACAAACCAACACACCATTACTGTATAATTCATCGAATGCTTATACTTATCATAAAGACGAAAATAATGTAGACAAACAAAAGTTGAATCCCCTCAATACCACATTGTTACCCTCTTCAACGTCAAGATCACAATCACCAATGGATACAACTAATATTCTGCCTAAATCAAAATGGAAAAGTACTTCTTCATTCTATTTTAATCCATCTGGACGTATTGTTTATTCATGGTGTGGTGTTATCAGTGTAGTTTTTATGTATCATTTATGGGTGATTATGTATAGATTTGCATTCAATGAAATCAATCAACAAACTGTCATTTTTTGGTTAACATTAGATTATTTTGCTGATCTACTGTATCTCATTGATATGACTATATCCATTAGAACTGGTTTCTTAGAAGATGGAGTTTGCAATTCGATGGAGTGAAAATGCGTTCCCACTACTTGAATTCATCACGTTTCTATATTGATTGTCTTAGTTTACTGCCGTTGGATTTCTTATATTTATCTATTGGATACAAATCTATCCTAAGGATATTTCGATTGTGTAAGGTGTATAAATTTTGGCAGTTTATGGATAGAGCTGAACGACACGCAAATTATCCTAATTTAATGCGATCAACTAAACTGTTGTTGTATTATTTAACTTTTTTACATTGGAATGCATGTATTTTCCAATTGTTCAATTCAACTGCTGAAAGTGTCTTCATGCTGACTGTTACACCGAATTCACCGAATTCAGGTGGAGCTACAACAACAGCGTCAACAAGTACACAAACTACAAGTTTAGGTACAGGAAGTCATATTTCACATAATACTACTAGCGGTAGTACAAATAATCGTGCCAATAATAGTAATCATAGTACTGTCCAAAATAATCATCACGGAAATCTAACGACAGTGGCATGAACAATAGCACTTCATTACTACGAACTGGAGGAGATAATTCTATGAATGGTGTAAATACTGCAGGCGGATTTTTGATAACAACAGGATCTCCTACTAGTGTATCTGCAACATTAGGATATGTTAATAGTAACATGATACCACTTACTTCAACTACACCTCAAGGAACACATTTATTCCGTGAAATACAATCATCTACAGATAATCATGGAGAATATGAATATTTACATGCATTCTATTGGAGTATGTTAAGTTTATTCCCTGTTGGTGGATTTCCTACGCCTAATTGTCCTGTCGCCTACTTTTATTTAATATGTGAAGGTGTAATTGGCATGTTTTTAATGGCTACCGTACTTGGACATGTAAGCAATATTGTAACAAATGTTAGTACTGCACAAAAGAATTTCAAGGTAAGTCTGAGGAAGTGAAAAAGGTTTTTTTTAAACATTTGCAATCATTTTGAATATCTTGCTACATTCATTCACCTTTTGCAGCGTATTCTTTTTATTTCTTGCCTTCCAAAGGTAATATGTAGTTTGTAGAACACAGTAGAATTGGTGGTGTTTTTATGACATTGAGTACCTAGGCTCATATTCAACCTTCCTCTGTTCCGGGCTTCCTACTAGCTAGCAATGAGCTGGGATGTAATCAAACCAGACTCATATACGATGTTAGCAAACACTCGATCACTAAACCATTGACGCACCACTCGTTTAGATACTTCAGTGCAATTAATTAACTTGTCACTGTAACATTCGAAGTAGCCGACCGTAATGTGATGCCTCATTTTCAAATAAAGTACGATCCTTTAAACAATATGCTAATGTTTATCGAAGTTTAATCAACATTATTAATTATTTATCGATCAATAAAATAAAGCATTAACTGATCCACTCTTGAGAAATGAGTGCACTAAGTGTCCGTGATATTTTAAAGAATACGACGGTGTTCTCTTACCTGATGGTGCAGATTTTTTCATCAAATGCTTTGAATGGCTTCTTTTTGTTTATGAAATGAGAAAATAGACGATGCAGGCACCGTTGGTAAATGACGGTTCTCATTGTAGCTTAACATTTCAAAAGAAAAATCAAGGCGGTCTGCTTGAACTGCTGCGCTACCGAAATTGATTTCCACCAAAAATGCTTGATTTCTTCTGGATTTATCAATGTTCTAATCGTCCAGTTAAATCGAACGACCTATCCATGAACTTCCTTTCTGATTTAACTTGCTTCCAAGTTAACTTTTTTTTAAAACTTTTTCAAGGAAATAAAGATATACTCCAGATTATTACTTTACATGCAAATCCTGTATGAAGAAGGTTTATTGGAACTAAATATGCGAAAATGTTTGTACCATATGTTTGCATATTGCCTGATATAAAACTTAATTATTATATCAGTTGGAGAAAGATGAAATGTAAACTTATATTTCTCTGTTTCGTCCTAAAGCACTGAGTCTTGAAAATATTCTACATATATAATACTAAACTGAATAATTCACAATAAGCAGATAAACACGCTTATTCTATAGCTGTTATCTAATCCCCAATCGATGTAGATTTAAAATAATATTCAAAATGGGTTGAAGATTTACTGACTGAAAATTTTATATAATTTTCTGTATTACTTATAAGTAGACATAGAATACGCTTGTATTTCAGTAGAATTAAATTGCTGCTTTCTTTTTTTACGATGGAAAATGCTGTCTCTTACCATTTTAATCAAAACTGATTTCCGGTTTGCATGTCGATATCTTCCGAAATCCTCCATAGATACATACGCAGTATAAGTCTGTAGATTAAGCATTCACGACAACTAGCAGTCAAATCCAGTACAGAAATTACGACTCATGGGCTACATAATTTCTATACAGTAACCGAATGGCCAAAGGCGTCGGTGGCATAGCGATTAGAACGCTCGTCGACCATGCATATGGTCCGGAGTTCGATCCCCGGCCGATGCACTCCTTTACCTCGCTAAGCCAGCTGATAAGACGAAAGGTTGGGCATGAGGCTAGCAACCCTATCCTGTTAAAATTAAACATTGCTATAGAAACTTCAAGTCTCTAGTTTGAAGCCATATGTTCCACTGGGAACGTGAAGGAAAAAAATGGCGAATGGCCAAAAGCATTGATAGCTGGTGATGTCTCGGATGAGCACTGTCAAAAACCTCAAACAAAGACAAAATATATGTTGAGTACTCCTTGGGTTTATAATAGTTCTCCAACTTATGTCGGTTTTGACGAAGTTCACACTAAAAAAATTGTGTTATTCATACTAAATTTTTTTCATTCAGTAAGTTTAATGCATGAAATACTGGCTGTGTTTCTTTTTTACACAGCAATAAAATTGAATCATTAACAGTAAAAAATTAGCAGCACAAAGCATTCCAACGAAGCAGTCCGGTTGCAGTCATACTCTCTTCAAAACATCTTATTGGCTCTAAAATTACTAGAAATTGCTCAGACAATATTGCATATATGATAAGAATAAAGACAGTTAAAAAGATGTTTTAAGGGGGTAGAATTGTCCAAAATAAGATAATCTTTAAAAAGTTTTGTAAATCATCCACTTGACAACTCTCCTACCCCCCCCCCTTAGTATATCATTTTAATTACCTTTATTCTTATCATACGTGCAACACTGACGAAGCGATTTCTAGTGCCATCGAATGACTTTCGCTGTAATATAAGTACGACTGCACAGCTTGAAAATGAAGTCGTTGAAAAGAGATATATCTTCGCTGAATAAAAAGGTGTGTTTTTCCATATGAATTAATGTGTACATATCGCAATTTAATATTACTGTCAGATAAACGTTTTTGTGTTTAGATGAGTAGTCAAATGAAAGGCGTTCTATTTTGGTTTCGCATATCATTACTTTTACGGCCACAAACAGTGATATATATATATATCAATACGTTTAGATTTGATTTCTTCTACCCACACTTATAAGGTACTTTATGATCCACGTAGATTATTCTGATTATATTACAAGATTTAAGATGGTTTTGATAGCCATCAGAGACTGAAAAGTTGTTAGCTTTACCTTTGTCTTCGACTTCTCAGTAGTATGAACACGTAACCCTATGCAGGATGGAGCTCGAGATCCTCCCACCTTGTAGTCTGCTGTTCGCCTATTGTTTTCAAATCGAAGGAACATTAACTATGAATTGCCTATTTATATCACCGCTTAGGTTTCGTCATGTCTTACCTTTAAACTAGTTGCATAATTTGTCCTCTTGTAATTTGCGTATAATAAATAGTATTTGTTGAATGCCTTTTAGTTAAACACTGTATAAAAAAATTATCGCAAAATATGGATGGCAGCTGCGTTTTTAAAGTCAACATCGAACAACTCTATGTATGCTACCAAATGAACGTAATTACGGTACAAATCCTTGAATTCCTGTTGTTGTATTCTAGGTGGATTAAACAAGCAGAAAAAAACATACACTTGTATAAAAAGACAAGACAAATAGTTAAAGTAGGATTGACACCTTAAAAGCTAAATAGTCTTATTTTTATTTTTACTGAATTATTCCTCTTTTTTGCTCATTTTCATATGACTTATAAGAATCACATGGTGGAAAGTGTCTCATTTGATTTGTGCAATAACATAACTGAAACAGTCGATTTGATCGACAGCTTACTTACGTCCTCTTTCAAAGATTAGATAGTAAAAACTAGTTGTTTATAATATCAAGTATAATAGAAGATATCCTCCAGTAAAATAACTTTCTCTGCTATCACATATTCCACTATGATTAAGAAGTTAGAGATAAAACATGACAATAATAGAGCTATTATTTATACAGCACATGATTTGCCTAATGGTAGATTTTACGACATAGAGTTTTGTAACACTCTTCTTTAAGACTATTTTTTGAAAAGTTTATTTTCTGTTCTTTACTGAAAACTTAGCCTTCTTTATCAAATCAATGATTTTAATGGAAAGTTCTGACAGAAAGGATAATTGAATCGCTAAGATTTAATTGACTCTAATTTTCTAAAGTAATTTTTTAAGTATTTAACTGAATTTTAGATTTCCTCGTCGATTGTTTGCACCGAAGTGCTCGGTCTCTGATTGACATGACGGCTTCTTGTGCAGATGATTCGACGATGTCCGGACATGTAATTAGAAGTTACTTGGTGGATGGTGACTAACAGCTGAATCCACGATGCGCATTTCGTCCTATTTGGGACTCGTCATCTGGATGCGCATAACGGCATCTTCAGATAGCCTAAAGAAGACAAAAGATGTTTAAAAATATATATTTGTAAAATCTCAGCGAGATAGAAATGAGTAATTTCAACGTTTCGTTCGGCAATCTGGTTCGAACCTCTTCAGGGAAATTATTCGAAATTAATATAACAGAGGTTTATATATAAAGGGAACATCTATTGTTTTATATATAAACCTCTGTTATGTCATTTCGATTAATTTCCCTGAAGAGTTCGACCAGATTGCCGAACGAAACGTTGGAATTACTCATTTCAATCTCGCTAAGATTTTACAAATATATTTTTTTTAAATGCCTACTTCTCACTGGGTGCCCAAATATTTTAGAACTATTCTGTCAAATCTTGACGACAGTTCGTTTGAAGACTAAAACAGTACAATATTTCACAGTTATTCGACTAACAAAAACTATGATACAATTTTGATTATGCTGTTTGTAAGCATTTGGATGATTTCAGTGTATTGTTTCGTCATAAATTATCATCACCACAGAATTGTTGAAAACCATGGGAAACTAGACATCTGTTTAGTACAAGTTTGGGACTTCTCAGTAGTGAGCACCCTTAATCTTCAATGGGGTCAGGCTAAGAACTCTTAGATTATCTGTCCGGCTGGTTGATCAGTTAGCCGTGGAGTAGAAATTCAATGACCCACGAATTCTTAATTCAATCAATTCGCAATATATCGTTATCGCCAGCCGCCTACTATAGATGAACATTCATTTTACCTTGATGCGATTGATACTGTAGACAAGAACTTTAGTGTCTAGTATAACAAGAGCAATTCACTGATAATGCTGCTTTACAAAAATAAACTCCTAGAACATTTATTTAATGTGACACGACTCAATGCCCCGTGAATTCCAACTCCATACATTTCATGAGTTTAGCATGGTTGTCAGTCTATGCCAATGACGAGTGTTTATCTTTACGTCTGAAATGGTGGTGTTCAGCTTTCACGACTTCTCACTAGAACTTCGGTCAACTTTGCATTGTAGCCAGTCACTAGTGAGCATCAAAATAATTTTTATCGGTGAGTATTTAGAGTTTCGTTGTTATTTCAAGTTTGTTCACACATTGATATCAGCTAGATAACCAGATAAAACCAGAGAGTACTGGACAACTGATTTATCCTAGTTTAAGATTCTTCATCAGTGGGAAAGTGGGACCT